AGATTAAATTATTAAATTTTAATTCTTTATTTTTTAGGATTGTTAGCTTTGTAAGATTGCTTTCTCACAAGAGAAAACAAGTATAAGGTTTAAGCTGTATGTATTAAAGTTATAAATATTTGATTTTAAAAAAAATCAAGATTTTAAACTTTAAAGGTATTAATTATGATTATCTTTCTTTAGCTTTGCATGCTGTATGCTACTTTCGGAAACTGCTCTATTGTATTAGAATGTTTTTAAATTTTGCACCTAAAAATGCGTAATATTAAAAATTAAGGTATTAATTATGATTATCTTTCTTTAGCTTTACACGCTGTATGCTACTTTTGTCTTTGAGACATTCCATGATTTAAGTTAAGAAGCTTTAAAAAAATGCAAAAAAATTGAATACTTTACTGGCTGGGCAAATTTGTCGCCGCCCCATCAAAAAATAATTTTAATATTTGTTTATTTCATTACATACAATAAAATTTTAAAAACTCTATTTCTTCTCAAGAAAATTTTTTCCTTCATATGAAGAAACATTTTGTTCTCCATTTGATACTGAGTCTAAATCTCGATTTTTGAATTTTCTTCTTTCCAAATTTCTTTTTTCCAAATTAGAAGTTTAATTCAAATTTTCAATAGTTTATATATTTTCTCAAACCATCTCAGATTTTCTCACTTTTTAGGGATTTTCTCTCAAAATATACAAAAATAGTAATATCAATACATGTGTCTAATATACTTTAAACCCATCGTGACAAAATTCAAAAACGAAGAGTTCTTCTCTCCAAATTTTTTTCAAAATCAAAAAAATGAGATAAAAAAGTACGTTTGGAAAATTCATTTTTAGAATTTTAGGAATTTTCTCACTTTTCTTCCAAATTGACATCCTTACAGTACAAAATTAATTTTACCATTTTAAAATTGCAAGTGTTGTATCATAATTTACAGCAAAAATTATATTTTTTGTGAATACTGAGAGAACATGATTTTCCATCGTGTATATTTGACATTGATTTCTTCATGGTTATTGATTAAAGATGTATCCTTGGTATTATGATTTTAGTTGTTTATATGTATTCTATTTGTTAATAGCATTATCATCAATAGCTTTTTGAAGAATTGTGGATTTGGGATGGATTGCGTGTGAATTTCCTTTTGTTTTTGTTGCCAAGATGTTCACTATCTTTGGAGATGTATTTTATAACAAATTTAGCTCATAAAGATAACTTTTTCTTCCTTTATAAAACTTCAATATAAGGAAAAATCATGATATATAGTGATGATATTTGAACCATACGAATCAATTAGTATAGAAAAATATAATGTTTAAGAAAAATAAAGTTTTATTTCATCAAATTTGATATCGGGTTAAAGCACGTTCTAAAGAACTTTAGAAATTATTTATTATTATTTGGCACCATGCTCTTTCAAGTACTTTACAATATAAGTAAAATCTTCATCAATTGCAAGTTCGAGAGGTGTTTTGATTAAAGCTTTATAAAGCAATGAGAAATATAATGAGAAAGAAAATCTCATTTAAGAATGATTGATATGACAAACTGGAAAACATCATGCAACAATAATAGATATGAAAAGAAAGATAATTTTATGCAATAATGATAAATATGATATCATAAAAAATGCAAGAAAACAAAGATAAATATGTAAAGAAAGAAAATTCGATTAAAAAATAAATGATCTTAAGCTTCATATTGATATCAGCACCATGTTCAACAATGACTTTGACGAGGTCGATTTTATTAACGAAAATTGCATATGCTAGAACAGAAGTTAGTATCTAGTAATTGGGTACCAAGGGTCTACGCCTCTTAGTACTCAAATTACTAGAATTTACAAAAACCGTTTGACACGTAAAATATTTCTGACATTTACAAAAAATAAAAATAATAATTTTTTAAAAAATAAACTTTAAAAAATAAACTTTAAAATTTTTGACACTTCACAAAATAAAAAAAAATAATTTTTGAAAAAATAAACTTTAAAAATTAACGTTAAAATTTTTTATTTATTTTTTTATCATAGATTTTAACACCCAGAGTAAAAATAATTTTTTAAAATAAATTAACTCAAAATTTTTTAATTTCTGTATATACTAAATTTTTCATAATGATTCGTATAAATTAAAATTTAATGGAATAAAAGATTATATAATGTCATTAAACAATATGGAAAACCGCAACCACTTTTTTAATCACGATTTAAATATATAAATCGCGATTTTTTAGAAAATTCGTATATCATACCGAAATGCATCACTAGCAAAAGTGATATTTGGCGCCAATTTTAAATTAGTGGATTTTGTGTTTATTATTTAAAAAATATAATTGATAAAATATAATTAACATTAATAGAATAATATGGATAAGATTTGATAAAAAACAATCATAAATTTTTTTTGGGCGCCATATAGAGAACTATAGTCTGCGAGGTACTGATTCTATCCATGTACCTCGCAGACAATAGTTCTCAGCCAAAATGCCTCTAAAATTTGTATACCTATAAACTCAAACTTCAATATATTCAATTTTATTTTTATAATTAATTTAAATATATCCATATAATTCTAATGTTTTCTTTTAATTTAAAAAATAATAATAATTAAAAATAAAAATACAAATAAACTTCTCTATAATATTTATAAAGCTGATTTGATATATAACACATTTAGCTTAACAAAATAACTTAGAAAAATTGCCGCGCAAAATAAGAGTAAGTGTCGCTTTTTGTCACTTTTCTAGTGATGCATTTCGGTACGGAACATTTTTAGAAAAATCGCGACTTTTTTAAAATCGCGTTTTTTAAGGGTGCACCCGTATGTACGTTTATTTGAGAGGAGGAGGATTACCCTCTCAATTTTGAGGGATTCGTTAGTTTATTTTCTCGATGAATATGCAATAAAATTTGATTTTTACCTTATCAATATACTTCATATAATATACACATGTTCATGTAAAAACTTTTTTCCAAAATCCTCAGGAATTAAGGGATTTTTGAATTTTAAAATTTTTTTCGGATTTTTTCGAAAAAAAAAATATTTTCAGAACAGCCTTAACGGCTAAGATTTAGGAACAATGTTAAGTATCAAAAAGAAAGGAAGTCTGATATAGACAACATATATCGTTGAAGGTTGAAAAAATCTCTAATATTTGAGCCCAAAATTTCAAATTTTAATTTTTTGAAAAAAGAGGCCACCCGTATGTACGTTTATTTGAGAGGAGGAAGATTATATTTTTGAAAGGGTGAAACATTATGAATATGTTAATTATATAATAATATGTATTATTATAAAAAAGAAAAAATAAAGCACGTTAAAATTTTTCTTTCTTGATTTTTTACAAAATCTACTTAGAATTATGCAAAATATGACTAAATAATTATAAATTTCAAGTTAAATTTTAATTTTGATAAATAATTTAAATTTCAAAATATCAAGTTCAGTTCGACTATGTATGTAGTAATTCCTCAATAAAGTGCCAAAACCCTATTAAAATATATGAACATTTTCAACATTTTAATGTTTTTATTTAAAAATTTGATGGAATATGAGCTTCAAACAATTATTATGTAAATAAAAATAATTAAATATATGTATTTATTTGTATTACAACCGTAATAAGTCGATTCTTCCTTTCTTCTACTGAGATTTGAATTTGATTTCGAATTGTAAAGAGATTCAAAGGGAAAATACTAGCGGATAAAAACTACCTCCATGAAAGGGTCATAATGGACTCAAGTTGTATTTTTTGATATTTTTTGCTTTTCGAGCCTAAATAGGTGGCCAAGATAATGCCTAAAAATAAGGTTCTAAATTCTGAAGTTTACATGATCCTCTCGTGTGCACCCTTAATGAATTGCGATTTTATTGTGGTCGCGATTTTTCAAAAAAATCGCGATTTATATGGAAAATCGCGTTATTGGTTCAATCTAAAGATCATTATTTAAAAAGTGAACTAAAAAATATAAATATAAAAATAAAATAAAAATTCTAATAAGAATGTTATAAAAAGTTTTTTAGATTTGAGTTGCCGATAGGCTTGAGTAAATGTATTTTTATTGCTAAAGGTTTTTTTGTTAGATTTATGTAATATTTTTTAGTTAAAGGTAAATTATGATTAATTAGTGCAGTAAAGTAAGACTTCAAGAATTTTGACCAGTAAAGTGGGATTGAGGTATTTGTTATCGAGATTGTTTGATTTTAGATCTCTGATTTCGGCAAGTATGCAGAAAAACCATATTGTGAGCAGTCTAAAATGGATAAACAGCCATTCTAGATTCAAAAAATCTTTGTGAATTGCTTTGTTATTGAGAAGTAATACAACCGAATCCCAAAACTATTTTTTTAAAAAAATTAATCGTATTATCAGAAAAAGTTCATATCGTTTTGTAATTATCAGAAAAGTATATCATTAAAACTTTAAAATCGTATAATAAAGTTAACAACAATTCTGTTTAGTAGCAAATATAATTCTGAAAGCATTCAAAAAAATACACTAAAAAGTCAGTTGCAAATTTACTTAATTTGATTATAAATAATGAAACACTGTATGATATCCTAGTAATAAAAAATAATTTTAGGAATGAGTATTTTTTTATTTTTTTTAAAATGGTATTTTCAACTAGTATCTATCAAATACTATTTGCACTAATCTACTAATATTATATGTGCGAAAATAAGATAAGTTATTAGATAATAATAAACATTACAGGCAAAAAAATCTTTTTTTAAGCCTGAAGACGCCTTGGATTTATTAATAAATCGATTTTATATATTTTTGCTGTATTTGGAAGATAATCTGTATCATACTCCATATAATTTTAATTGCTTGCAAAATCTTATTATCAATACAAGAATTATAATAATTTTTTTCTTGTCGAAATTCTATTCAATGCTTCATAAATGGCCGAACATCTTTGTGCTTTTAAAAATTGAATATAGTATCAATTTTATAAAATAAATAAAATTTTTGAAATCAACAATTATCACTTCATTAATGTCCAATCGGCAAAGAACAACATCCAGTACTCGAAGTTCGCAAGCATCAGGAACTCGAAACTCGCAAACACCAAGAAGTTCTCAAGCATCTGTACAAAACCCTGCTCCAACACAAACTTCTACAGCAACTGTGCGCCGTTCAAGATCAGAAAGGGAACCAGCTGCACCAGTACAAAACCCTCCTCCAACACAAACTTCTACAGCAACTGTGCGCCATTCACGATCAGAAAGGGAACCTGCTGCAACAGAACAAATTCCTCCTCCAGCACAAGAAAACGTGACAGTGGTTAATCCCATTCAAATTGCGACTTCATCTGAAATTTCAGAAAATGAAATCGATCCAACAGATCCAATTTCATTTTTTACCCAAAGAGAAGCAGAATATATGGAATCATTTGTTGATGTTCCTGTAAATGATGTACCAGAGCCAAAGATCAAAGAACCACTAAAAATTAGGATCGAAGAAATTTTAAGGGAGCAACAAAATAATCGTCTCACAAAATTGACAAATTTGACATGCAAAGATTTTAGAGATTTATTACATCTTTATTTTAATACTCTTGAACACAATCATTATAAACACACTAGAGTATCATTGGAATCGAGATTGCTAATAACATTAACTTGGTTGAAACATTCTGGTTCATTTAAAGAATTAGGAGCACAATTTGGAATCAAAAAAACACATACAAGAGTTAGTACACCAGTCTTGGGTATGGTGGCACTGCGTTCCACCTTACCCAATACTTGTGAATTTGACACTTTACAAAACCACTAACGTACATTTTACAACACGAACGCAAAAACTAACTTAACCTTAAATATTTACAAAGCCGCCAACAATTTCACCTCACTAACGAACTCACTAATGAAAAAATAAACGTTCTCATAAATTTTCTTCTATATCTTCATCGTCAGTGTTAACTCTATTGTAGTCATACTTGAAGTCATAAAGTTTCTCAAGTTTTGAAATGCATAGTCTTGTTAACTTACCTTCATCATCATAAGTTTTTATAAAACTACCATGACTATATCATACCGAAATGCATCACTAGCAAAAGTGATATTTGGCGCCAATTTTAAATTAGTGGATTTTGTGTTTATTATTTAAAAAATATAATTGATAAAATATAATTAACATTAATAGAATAATATGGATAAGATTTGATAAAAAACAATCATAAATTTTTTTGGGCGCCATATAGAGAACTATAGTCTGCGAGGTACTGATTCTATCCATGTACCTCGCAGACAATAGTTCTCAGCCAAAATGGCTGAAAATTGCTCACAATTGTTGAAATTGTGAGCAATTTTTAGCCGTTTTGGCTAAGAATTGGAGGGTGTGAGTACTATAGCATGTAATAGTATCTCACACCCTCCAATTCTTCCTATGGCGCCGAAAAATTTTTGGTGAAATGCGACGACATTTCACCAAAAATTTTCGGCGCCATATAGAGAACTATAGTCTGCGAGGTACTGATTCTATCCATGTACCTCGCAGACAATAGTTCTCAGCCAAAATGCCTCTAAAATTTGTATACCTATAAACTCAAACTTCAATATATTCAATTTTATTTTTATAATTAATTTAAATATATCCATATAATTCTAATGTTTTCTTTTAATTTAAAAAATAATAATAATTAAAAATAAAAATACAAATAAACTTCTCTATAATATTTATAAAGCTGATTTGATATATAACACATTTAGCTTAACAAAATAACTTAGAAAAATTGCCGCGCAAAATAAGAGTAAGTGTCACTTTTTGTCACTTTTTCTAGTGATGCATTTCGGTACGGGCCAATAAAACTACCATGACAATCTTTATAAACAGTCAATGTATAGTCAACTGGTCTAGGATGAAGTGTAAAGAACATGTTATACTCAGGAAGGAAGAATAAATGTTTAAATGTATGTTTGTTATATTTTTCGATTTGTATGAGTTGCTTTTGTTCCCACATTTATATAAAAATAAAATAAAAAATAAACTTAAAAATAAATGATATCACCACCCTCACACGTATGAAAACATAGCACAAAAATAAATTTAGGGTAGATGGGTATATCTAACCCGATTTCTAACCTCATTTCTACCCTGTTGAATTCATTGCTTTATAACTCTCTTCCTTGGTTTCTTCATTTTTCATCATTGACTTTATCCAACTCTTCTAACTTCTTCTTAAGTTCAGCAATGTTGTCTTCATGAAGTTTAATCTTTCTCAAAATTCCTTCTCTATATAATGGTTGCTTTATCTTTCTAAACTGAACTCTACCATCCTTCATAGTATGAATGTAAAAACCTTCTGGAATAGTTCCTGATTTAATGTATTCTACCAAAAACTTTTGTTTCATTGCTTCAGTGACTTTATTTGTCATTTCAATCAAATAAAAATTTTAATATTAAATAAAAATAACGTTATTTTTTCAGTAAGGAAACGCAGGAGTTTTACGATTTATTTGAGGAGTAGGTTCTGGTTTAAATGTTGGAGTCGGTTTTGGAGTTGACTTTTGAACAGGAGTTTGTACTTCCATAGGTTCAGGAGTCATTGAAGGTTTTGCTTGTGAAGTTTGCGTTGGTTTTGGCGAAGGTGTTGGAGTTTGTTTAACTTCAGCTACTTCAGTATTATTTACAACATTTGCTTTGTTTCTTTTCAACATCATAACTGCTCCTGCTGTAGCTAGCAAACCTAGTGGGAGACCATATTTATATAAGGACTTGACCAAATGCTATTTTTGACAGGAGCTGGTGGAACACCTAACCTTGGTGAGACTGCTCTTTGCCATTGTGCAGCTCGTAAGAAAAATTCAATAGGTGCTCCATAATCGTTTGGTAAAGTTTGTTTCATAGATGGTGAAGGTTCACGAGAGCTTGATGAAGAACTCATTTATAAGCTTTAAAAATAAACGTTCATCCTTTATTCCTCACTGTCGTCCGCGGCTAAGTTATAGTCATCTAATCTTATTATGGGGATGCCATTAGCACGCACCTGAATGGCAAAGCAACAATCCCTCATAAATCCAATAAGTGGCTTTGGTACATTTTCAGTTGCTAGTTCAATAGGTCCTTTAACAGACAATTTGTATGTTATTGGAGCAGTAGATGTTTGACCTTGCTGGAAGCAAAAGTCCACTTCTGTTGGAAAACCACATAAGAAATGTGTGTTGTCATAGCTATCCCATTTATGTTCCACACTACCATCATCCACCAATGACCTCATAACATCTTCATTAAATCCTATCATATCATTGTTTGTATTGCAGCGTTCGCAACCATTTCATAAAATACAGGTCCATATGATTTTTCAGGTTCTGCAGGCATATTTCCATAAGCTCCCATGGAAAGCTGAAGATATTTAAACTTAGGGTTCTCAAAATTAACATAATAGTTGTCTTTCTTTCTAAATAGTGCCCAAATACTTTTAACATTAATAGGCGTATAAGCTGCTGTAAATGTTGCACTTGAACTATCTGTATTCTTTGAGAATGAACCGTCCATAGGAATCCAATCCATAACTTTAACAGGAAAACATAAAGCCTCGTTTGTATAATGTTCTACAAGTTCTGTATAAATGTTAGGGTCTAAAGAGAATGACTTTGGATGAATGAAACATTCATTAAAATCCATCTTTGTTCGAAATAGTTGCTGGGTTACAGTTGTAATAGTAACTGTTCCACTAGCTTCTACTGCCTTCGTTATCATAGTGAATGGTTCATTCCATGGAACAAATTTATTTGTCGGTGGATTTGAATCTGAAGCAAATGCAACTTTAAGAGTTGGATTGAAAGCAATGATATCATTTACAGATATAGATGTGCATTGTAAGGCGTCGCTACTGAACTTTACTTTAAGCTGAATGTTTCCTGCAAAAGCTGGAATAAATCGAATAGCTTCTAATGGAAGGAATCTTCTAACAGGAATTCTTAAACGAAGCTTAAAATCAAATGATTTTCCTGCTGTAATTGGACCACTAACAATTTGTCCTGTTCTGCATGTTCCCGAATGACTCCATACATCTTCATGTCGAGTCTTTGAGAAAACATCTACTTTCTTTATTTGTTCGGTAGTTTGTGAGTTTGAAGTTATATATGCTTCTTCTCTTGCGTTGTCTTGAGAATATACGATACGACCATTTGCAAGGATTTGATATCCAGCAACTGCATAGAAAGCGTCATCGAAACCAATCCAAAATCCTGGTGGGTTTGTTTTATTGGAACCTGAACCAATTTCTTTATCTACAATAAATTGACCTTCCATTTTATACGTAATGAATGTATTGTAAAGGTCCAACATATTTTCACCAGGAGGTGAGAGATTGAATGTTACCCATGTGTTATCTTTAGCAGTTCCAGGTTGTGATGGAATCTTTGCGTCAGAATATTTTCTATTAGTGTCACCAATTTGAACTGCATTGTCTATGATATCGAAATATGAGCGAATCTGATGAATATGCTCTGCTGGAGTAAATTCGTTTAGCTGTTCGTTCTGCATGTATTTACTTCAGATAAAAATATCTATTTACTTCATTATTCTCACTCTTCTTCTTGGCATTCGTGGTGGAAGTTGTTTCTTGACATTTTCAATGAACTGTACATTCTCTTTTGTCTCAACTTCTTTCACTGGCGGGTCAGGATTCTTTGACTCGGTTTGTTTTTCAATGAAATTCACGAACTTTGCAATAAGCTCTTGGTTCGTTATTGAAAGTACATCTGGCTTCTTTTCTTCTTGTTCTTTTTGGCTCAGTTTGAACAGAAGGTTTTATATGGGCTTCGCCCTCGGTGCCATGCACCTTAATGTTGTCGCTTTCTGCATTCGCTAATGGAACCTTTCTTTTTCTTACGTATATTTTACCATCTTTACTCTGACTTACGTAATAGAAAGGATGTTGTATTCCTCTTGCGTCATTTAATATAATAGACTCTCGCTCTGATTTTGACAAGCTCATTTTACATCGGTTAAAGTTTTAATTTTGTTTTTTATCTGCAGTCAAATGACTCAGACAAGCCCTACGGACAAGACCCAAGGGGTCATAGATGTTGAAGCATTGAAGAAAGAAATTCGTGAGCAAATTTTATCCGAACTGAAGGAACAAAAACAAGAACAAAAGCCATAGAGACCAAAGAGAAAACTTAGTGAAAAACAACTTGCTGCATTAGCTGCTGGAAGACAAAAGAACCCAAGACTACTGGCGAAAAAAGCTAGAGAAGAAGCTGAAGCAAAAGCTAAAGAAGCTGAAGCAAAGAAAGAGTAAATGGTTTATTTTTATCCGAATTAAATGTATAGACAAATACCTTTATCTGTTGCGTTCAGTAGTGAAAACCCTGACGTCAAAATAAAGGGGAACAGAGTAACGTTTAAGTTTCCAACAGACTGGATTGTGAACATAAATGAAGAGAAGTACATTGGCATAACATCTATGTATATAACACGTGCTTTCAGAAAGGTTGACTTTATACTTCAAGTCGAGATAGAAAATGACGAACAGTCTTTAAGCGCCCAAAACATTCACATATACAAATACTTTAAAGACGATACAACTTTACAAGAATGTATGATTTCATTTAATGAAATGTTCGAGAAAAAGTTCAACATTGAAGTATAAACTTTACAGCCTTTACGTGAGTTTCTTGCACAACTGAAAGAAGAAGGTAGTCAGCCACAACTTATAGACTTTCATTATGAATTTAATGAAAATGAAGATGGAACACATGACTGTCAGTTTGTTATATATTCACCATTCAATGAAGTAGCTAAAAAGAAAGAAAATCCATTACGTATAAGATTTCAAATCTCTGAACCAAGTGATGATTTCAAGAATGTTTTCAATTATGATGCAATGCTTCCGAGGAAAAATGAATTTTCAAAGATTGTAACACCTGGCATTTGGGATAGAAAGCAAGCTATATTATATTCAAACTTAAGTAAGGGAGCTGAAAATGAGTTCATTGGTCATACAAGAACTTCACCACTTCCTAACCCTAAATACTATAAATTAACTGGCTTCAATCGTGAGTTTTGGATAGACATGTTCTCCACTCATGACCATAACTGCCCAGTGTTCTTACCTCCAGACCATAAGGACTGTCTCTATATTGAAGCACAACTCTTAAACTCTACCATCGCAGTATTGTAAATGACCTCATGGGCTTCGCCCTTGCCGCTAGCGGCTTATTTTTATCACGAATGACCTCATTGCTGACAAAAATAAATGACCTCAGAACTTCAACTTACGAATAAAGCTTGTTTTAGTCGTTATTGAGAAGTTAAACTTTTCAGCAAAGCAAGGACTAGAAGACTTACATAAGTCAAATCCAATCTCTTGACCATCATGAAGTGCTTTGTAAAGTTTCATTAAACTGAACTCAGAGTCTTTGTCATATGTTCCAACAGGTATGTGAATGTTCTTATCTTCATTGTAATAGCATTGTATAGCTTCAGGAAACATTTCATTAGCTGTGAAAGCAAGAACGTCTTGTTTTACACCTTTACAACGTGCATGGAATGCAACTTCATTTAAATCGTTAGTGAGTAAGTCTATGTAGGTCTTCTTTCCACAAAATATTGACTTGTATGCTAAACTTTGTTTTCCAGGTGTTATTTCTGCGAAGTCAGAATGAAATTGACCAAGGTTCTTTCCTATAAGTTCGCGACCGTATCTCTTCTTAAACTCTGCTGCAAGCTTTGGTATGTCTTCATTGAAAATATGCATGCTATCACAGTCCTGGTAAAATATTTGAAGTCCCATATCTTCAGCAGTACAGAATACTTCACACATTATTCTCTTCGACATTGACAGAATATTAACACCAAGTGGACAGAAGTTAAAGTGTCTGCAAATGCTTTTCGTTAGCTTGAAAATAGTTTTATCTGAACCATCCAAACCTTCGAACTTCACTATATGGTTGTAGTTTCTGATGGCATATCTTATAGCATCTTTGTCATTTACTATGGTTATTTTTGACTCAATAGGAGATAGAATAGTTTTGCCATAAATACTGTTCAGAATGAGCTTTATATTTTCTTGCAAAGGATTTCCTTCTTTCTTATACTTTAACCTTAACTCAAACAACTTCTTTACTTCATCCCTTATTCTAATATCTCTGTTTCCATCGTAATAGTATCCTTGCAACACTTCACATTTGACACCTTGATATTTTATGAGGTCTTGTAATGTTATATGGTCAACATACATTAAACAGCAAGTGTTTGAACTTCTGGGAACGTTAAGTTCTGGATTTAGTTCAGGGTCACAAACTATTAAAGGAAAGTGTCTATGTATTCCAATCTCTGTTATCTTAATGAGAACAAAGAAGCCAGACATAAACTTTTCACCAATGGGTTCCTTTTGGTCGTCATCGAATAAATGTCTCATGAGATACTCTGTGCTTAACATTTCTTTCTTCATAACCTTTGGAATACCTTCTAAAGTATAAAGTCTTGCTATAGCTGATGGATATAATGAAACAGCGTCGAAGTCAGCAATGAGTTTCTTTTCGCTCTTTTGTTTCATGTTATCTGACAGCATACATCTTCCACCTTGAATACAGCGTGAAATAAATTCTCTTGGTTTATTTGAGAGGTCATATAAATTTCCATTCGGGAAGTACACTCTGTTCTCAAACAATTTGTTAGCAATAGAACAAATACTAACGTAGTCATAAACGTTTAAATCAAATTCTTTTAATATATCATTGCGGAACTTAACAAAACCTTCTCTTAAAATTCTTACATCTTGTTTGCAATAAAATATATACTTTTCTAAGTCGAAGTGGTTTTCATCTATTCTGCAACCTTTGATGGAATCTATGTTTTTCATGAACGTATCAATATCTTTTACAAACTTACACGCTTCAGAAATGACACCAGTTCTGTTGTCATTTGCTAATAAAGAGCTTGAATAATATTGATACGGAAATACTTCCTTTTCACCACACTGCAAATGAAACATTTCAGGAAATAGTTTAAGCTTCTTATTTATAACAGTGTATGAATCTTTAATAATGATTGCTTTACCTTTATATATTCCCGTTATCTGCATTGTTCGTGAACCTTTAATGATGGGAGTTCCTTTCACTTCTGTCATGTGTCTTAAGATGAAGTTTATATCATAACTGAGGTTATGGAAATATATTAAACTCTTGTCAGGAAGTCGTTCCAAAAATTCTGTTGCACAGTTCTGACCCCAAATGCTTTCACTCACTGAACCATCTTCACCGTCGTAACATATGTTAAAAGCTTTATGAACTCCATCAGTGCTACATTCAAAGTCAGCAAAGAAAACGTGCTCAGGAATGAACTTGCACTTATTTTTATTTACTTCTTTTGACTCGGCTTTCTTCTTCAGTTGTACACAATACTTTGGAGCATATGTCAAATCTTTAAATGGTGCAAGGTTCTGTTTATATAAGTCAGTCGTATATGTGAAAAGTTCTCCATAAGAAATAGGTTCGAAATATTTGCACTCCCACAATGTTTTCATAACATCCCATAACAGTGTTGTTCTATCATAACGAACTACATATTTGTTCTCTCTCTTTGTATAAATCTTCATCTGTTTCTCAATGTTCATTCCACCACACTCCTTCAAGATTTCTATATAGTTGCGAATAAAATATGTTGTCATTGGTAATCTTTCATTTAGCATGTAGTGGTCTTCAACAAGAAGTAAGTCAATAGTTCTAACAGTTTCACATTCTTTTGGTATGTATCTCTTTATTTCATTATGTCTTGACTCATTGAAATAACCAATGGTAACATTAAATGATATACCTGTTGCGTCAGAAATTTCTTGTACTTTACTTTGAGGAAAGTCTCTAACACGAATGACTTCTCTCATGTGGTCAATAGTTTCTTCATTTACTCCAGCCTGAATGCAAGCATAAACGAAACAATTGTCCTCTGTCATAAGTGTTGCAGTTCTTTTGTTCAGTTCATTGAAGATTTGGTAGCGTTCAAGATTTATAGGTAATGTGCAAAGATACTTCCAGAACTGACCGCTTCTCTTCTTATAAAACTTCTTTTCACCATTATCTTTCCAAAAGCTTTCTATAAGTGCTGGGTTTCCTGTTTGCTTAAGAGCTTCCAAAATGGCTTTCTGGTCATTTGTCAGTGTGCTTTCATCTCTATATGGTCTCTTTTTTGGTTTGCCTTTCTTTACATCTGACATCGTTAAGCCTTCATATTCTGTTAAATCATACATCTTTATTTCAGTAAGATTCTTTATGTTTGTCAAGAAGAAGTCATAGTGCATTTCAACAATACCTGCAGCATTTGCTTCTATCTCTGATATAAAGTTCTCCTTCAAGAGCTGATGTAGTAATGTTCCAATATTATTGAGGTTTAACGTAGAACATTCATACTTTCCACCAAGTTTATAACATACCATCCATCTTTGTTGGGAGTTTATTTTAATCTTCTCTAAGAGTCTCATGAAAACCTTACCGAAATGTTTGTGTAAGTAGTCTCTGTTTGGTTCATCTAAAGCTTCGATGTTAAAGTCAATGAGTCTATTGCCTGACTTCACATTTCTCTTCCTATTCTCTTCATCTTTCTTTAACCATCTCTCACCTTCTTTTGGTTTGTCGTCAATGGAACGAATGACATCGTTAACTTTGCGGACTTGTTCTATAGCGCTCTTAAACATCTCTCTTCTCTGTTGTTTCAGTGTGTCGTCTCTTCTTCTTGTTTCACCAACGTTTGCATTTGTTATGTCAAACATTTCTCTTCTTACTTCATGAGGTACTGAACGTCTATGATATAAGTCAATAGCAACGTCATTTAAAGGAAATGCTCTTGCATGGACTTCGTCCTCGCCGCGTTGCGGCTTTATGAACTCATGAATTCTATCATAACTTATTGCACCATTATAGTCATTGAGGATGTCAGCGAGTGCTTTTTTGTTTGTTGCGTAATGCTTTGCAACATCTATGTTAGCATCTGTAAGAAGTTGTTTTATTTCCGAGTGTTCTAACTTAGACAACTTCCGATACATCTTTAGTAGGAAATAAAAAAATATTTTTTGAAAAAATTAGATTAGATTTTTTAAAGTTATTTTTCAAAATAATTTAATATTTTTATTTTAATGAAACACATGCAAGATTGCAAGTTCTTTTCATACAATGCTCTCGCTACTGCCATCAAGAATGAGTTCAATAATGCTTCAAATGTTAATGTTATCTTTAACAAGAAGTTTGTGAAAGAATCTAAGTTTGGTCAGTATGTCAGACCATTAGCTATCGTCATTGACCGCAAACGTTATACTTCACAAGAGTTAGCAGTAGTTTTGAAACAAAAGAGTTTCTTCGTCAATGTCAAAGATACACACTATACTGTTATAAAGAACTCTAACGTTGACTTCTTCAGTATTGCTTTAAATCTTTCCGAACAGAAAGAATATAAGAAGGGTGAAACAAATGTGAAATATTATCCTTCATCTCTGAAGACAATAACGAACAAAGATGTTATACAGAAATTCTTACCAAAGGTTGAAGAAGCTTCTATTGACATTGACGAAGGAAGTGAAATGGTTGAAGAAATAGACCCTGAAGCTATTTAAGCAAAAATATATTTTTGGTTAGTCTTCATATGGATATTTTACAACAATTAAATGGTAAAAACAAAATAAACTTGACGATCAGACGATTCTCCCTTCGTCGATTATGATCGACATGGAGCGTTTTGTTTTTATCATGGTTTTCTCCACTATGGTCCTAACGTGGCACCCGACGAGATTTTTTTTCATTCTTCCTCTTTGAAGTTATCGAAATATTCTGTTATTTTTTCCTTCAGTAATGTTAAGTCTTCTTTGAATGTAAGTATTGTGCAACCTTTGATGTCATAGTGTGTTTGAGGAAGAGTATTTTTGACAATTTCCTTTATTTGCTCATTCGGTGTCATTGAAATCGGTAAGTTTTCACGATAGAACCAGTTTCTGTCAGATTTATATATTTTAGCTAAGTCATAAAAGCTCTTGTTGTTTCTTCTGACTAAATGTAACATAACCATATCTTTATCTTCTTCATTTTCCAACTCTTCAGTATAAATCATATACTTATAACTCTTTTCCTTTCCTTTTGGTACTGAACGCGGTATTCTTTTCTGTATGCTTTTGTCTTTGGATTCAATGACTTCATCTTTTGCTTGAAGTTTCTTTTCCACCTCTCCACGTTCTGCTTTATATAGTTCATCTAACATCATGAAAATATAACAAGCATAACGAAGTGAAGTCCACATTGCTACAGCATTTACTAAAAGTCTATGAACATAATAACCTTTCAAACCAGGAGCCAAATTCTTGCGATTTTCGTATGGAATCTCTTCCCTCGGAAAACCGAGGGAAGCAATCATATGAGGAAATTCTTCTAAAAGTTCTTTTGTCTGTTGGTTTTCAAACCAATGATATGCTTGCTTTGTAGAACGAAGAGCATTCATTATACTTTGCATTTGGTACATATCGTCTTTGACTGAACGAATGAGACGTAACTGTTTGTTATACTGTATGTACTCGTATTCTTCATTTATAGCTTCATGGACTATAACTGTTGTTGTGTTCTCTGATGTTGACATTACTGTCTTTACATACAAAATAAAAAAATAAATAAAAATAAAACTAACTTTATTTTTATCTTTTATGAAAATTCATGAAATTTGGTCATTTTTCAGCAAAAATATAATTTAGGTGAAGAGGTGAGATTTCACCTCTTTTTTCACAAGCGTTTTACATGAATTGTACGATGTATATTTGAAATCCTAAACAATTTCGTAGCTTCTATTTCTTCTTTTAGTACATTGAATGTTTTAATCATGCCGAAAGTCTCTTTATATTTCTTCTTGACGTCAGACAGAAGGAAATCTTCTGCTGTTGGATAGTTTTTATTAAGAAATGTCAACATATCCATTTTATCTTCTGCTGGCTTTTCTGCTTCTTTCTTTAAGTCTGCATAGTCGTTTCGCATTCTTTCTATCTCTTTGACTGAGTAGTTATATTTTCTTATTGCTGCTTTACATTTTGAACATTGCGGCATCGTTTTTGCGTTATACATTGAAACATTACCAGCTAAAACAACTAAAGCGTCAATTGCTCTCTTCATCTCAAACATAGCGGGTCTTATTTGTTCGTTCCATACCTTACCTCTTCTGTCTTTATCTCTTATCTGCCATACACATTTTGCAACTAATGTAACAAAGTTATCGTATGTCTTAAATTCTTCGGATTTATATATGTCAGAAATATTTTTATAAATCATGTCGCAATCTTTGTCCATAACTTTATGGTTGCAATGATATCCTAGGAATTCATAATTTACCTTTCGTATGAACTTCTTTATTTCTACTGAGTCAGTTGGTTTCACTTCTATTTCGTCAAATTCGGGAATGGTTGGTTTTTGGTGTTGAATTTCAGGTAGTTTAGGCAAATGGTCGATGAGGTCCTCCATTTCATAAAGATACTGTTCATTTGTTTCATCTTTCGCACTACAGTCTAAATTACTTGTTAAAAGTTCTTGCTTTATCTTCTGGATTTCTGTTTCAAAAGCTTTTCATCTCTACCAACATTGACGTAGGATTCATGACTAACGAGTTTGGTGCTGTAGTTGTGGACAGAGTCCCGCCGTTCGCAGCTTGAATTGTTGTTGTGCCGATTGTTGAAATCATATCTTTTATACAAAATAAAAAAATAAATAAAAATAAAACTAACTTTATTTTTTCTATCTTAAGGAAATTCATGAAAATTCACGAGGGTGAAAAAACAGGTGAAAAAAGAGGTGAAATCTCACCTCTTCACCTAAACATTATTTTTGTCTGATTTACATCTAATGAAAAAGTTTAGAAGAATTTTCTTATTCTTTCTGGCATATTTTTGTCTTTCCAGTACTCCCGCTCTAATGGTCCCAGATGTGTTGGCTTCGACTCTCTCAAGTTCTTAGATGGTATAACATCTTCAACGCCTCCTTCATATCTTACTTTATAAGTGTCATCGTTTATGTTATAGCCAAGTATTTCAATAACCACTCCTCGCTTTGCTTCGTCAATGGTTTCAGCAAGTTTGCCATTACTAATTTCAACTAATTTATGACGAGGATAAAACGCAATGGAGTCGTCAGCAGCTTTTATAAGATATCCATTACATTGCGTAGAGTCTACGATATAATAGTTTCTACTTAACCTTAAACATTTCTTTGTCAACGGTTTGTCGTCAAGAACTACACGAACTTTTGTACCAGGAATGAGGGTAAATTGTGTTGAATTTCTGATATTTTGTGTTTGGCTTCGTTTCTCTTGTATATACTTTTCTTCTTGTTGTTGTGTCATTGAATTTGGTGTATGTCCTGTTGTAGAATGTGTTGAGGAATTATATACTTCGAGAAAATGTTTCATTGTTTCTTCGGTAAAGTCTCGCTCTTGGTTTAAATCTCTGAGCGTTCTTATGAAGCGGTTTATGATGCCGAGTATGTTATGGTTATGGTCTTCAGTAGTGTAGTGAGTTATGTTATGCTTAATGAGAAAATCTGTGATTTCATTGCTGAGGTATGCACCGTCTTGGTCTGATGTTAAAGTACTTGGGCTATGTTCTGCTACAAACTTTTGTAAAACTCTTAACACTTCACGAGTTCCTTTATTTTTCATTGGATATGCATATGCTTTGCGAGTGTTAACATTAATGAAGATGAGGAATGGTGGCTTTCTTCCTTTCTTACTCTGAACGAGAGTGTCAAATTGGTATGCGTCGGTAGTGTTGGAGTAAATTGGTAAAAAGTAGTCGTAAGGGATTATTTTTGTTTGATGTACAACATTTTTGTCAAAGAACCTTTTCACTTCAGCTCTGTTAGTAAATCCCCAACTCTTTGCAGCTTCATTGAACTTCTTAAATGACCTCCATGGATGTTATTCGAATACTTCTTTCAAGCTCATTTATGTAAAGTTAAAGATTTTATTCAAGACGGTAAGCCTTGACCCAAAGGGTCTAGGCTCAAGCGCGTTCATTGAACGCGGTACCATGCGAATACAGTCATAAATGGTGGCATATAATCTGCACCCGAGCCTGTTGGATTTGTTGTGAAAGTATGGACATGATTTCCTCCTGGTTCAGTTGGTCGAAAAGTCTTTTTTGCTGAATTGTTATAAGATGGAGATAAAACGTCATTGCCAGCTTTATAGTCTGAATTGTATAATGGGTGGTCTCTTAATGAGTGGCTATGGTCGCCAGAAAAGTTTGTCGTTCCTGTATGAGTGTGCGCAGGTAAGTTTGCTTCTTTAATTTTCTTTGAGCCACCTGTTTGATTTGAAGAGTTAGCACAGTATAAGAATTTATCTACAATCTGCTGCCACGTACCAAAACCTAAAACACTTGCCGGATTTGTTGAGTTCATTGACGTATAAATAGAGCCTATAGGATATATGGTTTCAAGAATCTGAGTCTTCATTGTTTGAAGTTCATGTTAAACATTTATAAATCCTTTGCCATCTACAATATTTATATTGTTTGTTATTAAACCATTAGGAAAAGTATGAGGATAAATATTTTGTTCAACTAAAGGTGTACCGTCTCTTCCCGTTTTTGTTACTTCTTCAATGTATGCTTTAATTTCTTTAATCCTGATTGTTTGAAATTCTTCATGCACGTGCTCTTTATCGGCTTTTCCATTAAGCGCAGCATTTACTTCCGACTTCTTTGCATAATTTTCATCTACATAAGTTTTGTCGGCTTTCTTATCTAACATTGTTGGTAGTTCATATGCTTCAAAGTTTCTGGCATGATCTTCGATATTCCTGCAACTGTTATCTAAATTGTTAAGAGTATCTTTTACGCTTGTACTCGGATTCTCTAAAGGTGCACTTGAACCAAATCATAGTTCAATATTATGTCGTCTGCTCTAACAGTAGTGAAGGATTATGTGTATGGTTCTTGTCAGCTTTACTATTTAATGTAGCTTGAAGTTCATTTATATCGGAGATATTGTGTTTATGAGATTTCAAAACTTTGTTCGTTGCGTCAAGTTCATCTTTGTCAGCTTTACTTTTAATAGCATCTTCAAAAGTTATTTTTGCCTTAACTCTCAATGTAAATCTTGGTTCAACTAATACACCGTTAACAAGAAAGTAGAAGCATAAATTTCATCGTTATAACCAAATGCTTCTGGTGCTTTACCTGTGTCATACTGTACAGTACAGTTATGTCATAACCTTTAGCACGAATGAATTTATATCTTCTTTCATTAACATCTTGTCTTCATTTTTCATCCTGTGTTAAATATCCATGATAATCCGTTATAATCTGTTCATCTGAACTTATATAATGAACATGGTTTTTATCTGCTTTTTCGGCTAATTTCTCTTCTATCTCATTTATTTCAAGTTCATGCCTACCACCACCTCCCGAAGAAGTATTTTTCTTCAGCTCTTGAAGAACGTCCACTTCGCCATCTTTGGTGTCAATAATGAGACTTTGAGTTAAAACCTTTCCTGTCTTAATGGATGTTTGTAAAACTTCTTCTTCACCGTGTTCGGGGTCATGGTCGTCATCATATCTTGTGAAATCAGAGATGTTGTCATACATTAAGCATATCTGTCTCAAAAGTTCTGCTATTTGAAACTGGAACGAAAGATATACAGAACTTTCATCATCTCCTAAAGTCAAGTCTGCTTTCTTAAGTATTTCTTGAATGTATGCAATGAGAACAGAGTACCTTGGAAAATATTCGAACAATATTTCATTAGCTGTTGGTTTTGGTGGTTCTTCTGGAGTTTCTGTTGTTTCAGTTCCTTCTGTAGGTTCTGTTGGAGTTTCTGCATCTCTTGACTTCAATGCTCTTGCTCTCAAAGACCTAAATGTTAGAGCACCAGGTTTTACAAAGGACTTTATAAATGCTTTAATAGTTCCTGGTAAGTTATTGTTAGCATTAAGTAAGTTCCTTATGCTTCCATCATGTACGTCCATAGCACTATGTAAAAAATCTATACTTTTCTTGTAGTCAGCAATAGACTGACTGTGATTTTTTAAAGATTTGTCAATACCTTTAAGCCAATCTTCATGCATGTCTGATACTGAGCCAAGAATATCATTTGCTTCCTTTAGTGTATTTTGTGCTTCTCGTAAAGTATCCAATCCCGTACGTGCATTGTTTGCTATACGTCTTACAGTATCTATTTGACTCCTTGTTTCTTGCATCCAACCAGATAAAGTTTTAATAGTATCCGAACCATTTGAAATGAAGTTCAAAGCATTTTTAACGTCATCTAAAACTTCTTCACCAAGTACTGCCCATATCTTTCCGATTTGGTATTGAAGAACTCCATATGAAGCAGCTGTTAAACCAGTATTTATAAGGTTCCATATCCATGATTTAGCAGTTTTTCCATCCTTTCCATCTTCACCATCCAAACCGTTTTCGCCTTGAGGTCCTTGTATTCCTTGTATTCCTTGTGGTCCTTGAGGTCCGGTGTCACCCTTCTCTCCTTTCAGTTCATCTTTATGTTCGTTATAATATTCTAATGTCATAAGGTGTACATCATTACTGCTACCAGCAACGCCGAGAATTTGTTTCTCATTCATGACTAAATTCTTTAGGCATTTAATGTTGTCGTCAAATCGAAAGCTCTTTAACAATTCAATGAGAACATTTAATACTTTCACTAATGAGGCATCTACTGTAGAATTTATATATTGCACCGTTCCATCATTTATGATAGGAACTTTACTTTGTAATGAATGGGTCATAAGTGTTAAAAGTATCGAAATCAATGACTTTTTTAGTTTTTCCATCGTCAATGACTAAATCATTGCCTTCAATGGTTAAAGTTGAGTTTTCGTTTACTAGTTCATGTGCTCTTCTTGCTTCATTTGTTTCATACGCATATGCAGCAATAGTCATATTTTAATGAGAATAAAATGTTGTTCTATTTGCAAAGTACAGACCCAAACGAATACGGGACAGTAAAGCTACAAACAAACTTAGGTCTTCAGAATGAAGCGCTTGCTTTCAGAGTTGTTGACTTCAATACTATCGCAACTTTTGTCATAACAGATGAAACAGATTTCATAGAGATTGAAATAGATGACAAAAGAAGTGTTATAACATTTCCTAACAGAGCTGGGTATAGA